AGTTCCACTTTCAGAGTCAAGCCTATCGTGTGCTTTCTCCAAGAAATGTGGGCAGTGGGCATGAGTTGAAAACAACACTGCTATACCCATCTACTAAGAACGAATCATGTGTATCAGTGTATCCATAAAGAAACAGGCGTGCCTGCCACATGGATCCTATCCTATGTATTCAGTTCCCGAGACAGATTCATCAACCCCAAGAATTCGTACACCAACTTTCGTCGCTTTTTCCCCTGATTTGCTAAATCTGACGTTCATTGGTCTTCTGTGGCAACTGCTTTCGATCATGCCTCCCAACCAACCAAAGCAAAGAGGGTAGAATTGAAACAGGCGGACACAGAAATAAAATGAAATAAACAGAATTGTTTGCAGCCCCAAAATCAAGGTTCTAATTTCGGGGCCCTCAATTCCCATTCAACTTCATTCTAGTTTAGGTTCCACTTCAACGTCAAGTGGAAGTGCTTAGAGCCAATTCTGGTGTATTTCAATTCCGATTATTCAAAGTCAGTTTATTATAGTTTGAATTCACTGTAAAGTCGAGTTGAATTCAAATTTCAAGTAAGTCAGTTCAACATTCAAATTCAAAAGTTTAGTTCAAATTCAAAGTCAAGTTTAGTTCAAATTCAATTGAAAGTGAAATCGATTAAAGTCCAAGAAACCTTAGAATCAATTCGGTTACCCTCTGGTTATTTAACATAGCTATTGAAAATGACAATTTTTAATGGGACAATCCACTATAAATGGCCCATTTTCCATGGCTATGTTAAATAACCAGAGGGTATATGAAGTTATATTCAGTTTTCATTCCATTCCCAGAGAGTTCTCCATGAATACATCTCTCAAAAACCAAGAAAGCTTTGCCTGACTACACGTTGAGGGCCCCAAGAGGTTTTCGTTCTCAACTTCGCCGAGCGAAAAATTCTGGCTGCTGATGTAGACACGAAATCAACTCTCCGACTCAGAGAACTATTTGGGGGATTCCAGAAATGGTGGTACCCATAAAAGGGATAGTGTATAATGGAAAATCCTATTAAAATGATTTAAAATTGATGATTTGGGGGTACCCCCATTTCAGGAAACCTCCATTTAAGCTTTCACCATGTTCCAACACCAAAACCACATAAAACCACCATCCCAGTCAGCCACCAGGGCTCTTTTAGAGAGCCGGGGCCTGCAGACATGGCGCCCCAACCTCAGTACAAGAAACCGGTTGAAAGCTGAAAATCAAAGTCAGTGCCACAGTGCCGATCTCATTTCCCGACAGCATTTTTGACCATTCATCTCAGGCGGAAAACCGGACACAAAGCTACGTCCTTTTCAATAATGTATCATAATGTTGAAATCTTTCAAGCGCATCCGATGGGCTTTCCTGCTTCAGCAAACATCGGCCTTGGCATCCCACCATTTCTGAAACAACTGCAGAAGTTGTGGCTGTGAATCCGGGCATTTGTCCTTAAGACCTTCAACAGTGAGGTCCCAAGGCTTCCAGTCAGCGATGAAATGAACCATAGCAGCCTTCTCCATGATCCACTCAGGGCCCTTTCCAAATTCTTTCTGCCAGTACTGGTACATGCCGTCACTGGCACACCATTCTCCAATCAGTAGGGCATAGAATCCGTCCAACATATCGACGCGATCACGAAAGTGCAAATTGACCCAATCCATTTCACTGCCAATCTGTCCAACTGATGCATTCATTGGATCAAAGAAGTCCTTCTGATAGAAGACTTTCCGAGGATCAATGACCATGGGGCCTCCGCTTTGTACGTATGGTTGGTCTAGCCAGTATGCACGGGGAGCCGCAATCTCCACAGGGAACTTGGCAATATCGAACAAGTTCTCCAAACTGCCCAAAGGGAAAGCATCTGCGTCGAAGTAAATCACTCGATTGTACTGGAAGAGTTCAGCTACTCTGAGCTTCAGAAAGGACTCGCCCCATTGCCAAGAGCCTTTGGACATAGCTTCTTTAACGTGGATCAATTTGATCCCAAGCTTTGCAAAGCGTGGCTTTTCAGGAACGTCCTGGTTGTAGACTACCACCAAGTCGGCATTGTGTCGGTGCTGATGCTTTGACACTGCGGAAGCAGCCACCAGAATTGCACAAGCTACGTTGCTATCACTGTCTGCTAGGTACCAAACATACCTGGTCACTGATTTTGACTGAACAAACATGCTATAGATGTATCGTTAACCAATCAATTGCCCGCTGACAAGGCACCTAACATTCTATTTTACTGTGTTTTTTGGTTAAATATGTTTATATTCCCACCAGCGGGTCGAAAAACAATGCAAGGATGCTACCCAGAGACGCAACTTTGGATGCGGACACATGTTGCTGTAAAAGAACGGGCGATTTGCACTGCTGCCCATCCATTGTTTTCCCTTCGACAGGGACAGGGGGCACCCATGATCCGTGCTGCTCAGCGCAGGCTGAGAAAAGAAATGCAAAGAAGCATTTTGGCAAGGAGCCAAGGCATTTCATGTGAGTAAGGTGGTGGCCTAGACGAGCCTAGCATGTAGAGGAGCTCACTTGAGCCAAAAGCACTGAAGCAATCTGAACCAAATCTGTGTCATCCAAGAGCTACTCAAAGTTGCTGCGAACATAGCAGTCGGGTTGGGGGCTATCCAAGAAATCGATGCAGAATTCATCGTGCAGGTTGTGCGTGACCGACATGCAGTATTGCAACTTGATCAGTCAGAGGCTCTGACATTGAGGCTTCAGGAAAGATTTGTAACCATCATCGATTCATGAAGTCTATGAATACTTTTGTGGGTTGTGTGTGTATGCCTGACGACTAGTCGGGTTCTGCACACTGTTTGACACTGTGCCTTATAATTGCACTTCATTGTGGCCTACTTGTAAATACTGTTTTTGTTGACGCATCGAACCTAAACCAGCATACAGCAAGTCAAGCATGAAAACGCGCTTTCCTAACCACGAAAGTAAGTACGAGTACAGAACACCATGTATACACCATGTATACGGTGCCATACGATGTGTTGAATTGCTGTTTTTTGGCTCATAATTAAGTGACATACAGAAGCGGCGGCAGCATAAAGAATTCACGCACAGGAAACCATCCAAACACTTGTTCAACATGGGTTTGGGATGCTCCCGTTTGAGATTGCGAGCTACCAACCTGAGAAATAGAAGTATATAATATATATATATATATACATACATACATAATACATACATACTCTACCTCCTCAATACCCAACTAATCTATACATGTATATGTACATTATGGTAGGGATGTGGTTATTATGTGTATATATATATATGTGTGTATGCGTGTGTATACATATATATATAGGTATACCCATATGATGTATGATCAATAATATACATAGTCTGTTGAGTCTGTTGTGTATATTATTATATATAGTTGTTATATATTGTTATATAATATGTAGTTCTGTTGTATACATACATGGCGATGTTCATCTATTCTTATGCATACATATATGTATATATATATATATTGACTATAACTAGTAGACATATAATGTGTGTATACATCATAATCAATAGATGTAACAGTGTATAAACATGTATATTATATATGTTGTACATAATACATACAAGATGACTATATATATATATATACAAGTTATATCTACATTTATGTACATGTATTCACTGAAGCGTCCAACACATGCTGGCGCCCTTGAGATTCGACTGAAGAAGTCGAACTGCATTGAAATTGTTGATGTTCTACAACAATATTGCCAAAAAAAAAGCTTTCAAAAATGGATTCTAGCTAAGGATACATCCAGGATACCAGATCGTCAATCTCAGCCTCGTGCCGATGCATGTTTTGAATATCCCATCATCTCTACCTAACTCTATCCCAAGCCCTTCGACTTTCATTCTTCATCGGACTGTCAATTTGGAGCGCTCTCACTTGCTCGAGGCTTCTCGTTTTCGTGTCTGCTTTCGCTCCTGCATTTTGGCAGGTCATTCCTTCTAAAATGTCTATAGATCTCTCGTGTAATGGCATCGTTTAAACACGTTGCCACTCCAACAATTAGCTCCAGCAGCGAAAGGAAGCAATCTGGTTGTTGTTTCGATTTCAAAGGTTGAAGGATGACAAAAGACTAATTAAAGAACGTAGATAAGATTGCAAAGCTCTCGAGTTGAACCCCAAGTTCAAAAAAGGAACTTCCTATACCTGGTTGGTGGTTTCTTTCCCATCTTGAAAAATATTAGTCACTAGTCAATGGGAAGGATGACAATTCCATCCCAGATATGATTTCTGGAAAATAAAAAATCAGATACATTATCTATATCCCATAGGATCCATGTATGATATACATGCTAACATTTACCATCAATATACCCCCAATGTTAGCATATATACCATACATGGATCCTATATGATCCTATGGGATATGGTTGGTGCTTTCATATCTTTCATATCTGCACCAAGCAGATACAGATCTTTATAGGATGACTATGACTGTTCTTACAGCAGATCCCTTTTGGTTGATCGAGAATCCAAGAAGTTGAAAACATGACGCCGGCCGCATGTTGAGAGTATAATGCATGTTTGTACTTTCTTAATGGGACATGTATAAAATCATATGGTGTATATGTATATATATATACCCTCTGGTAAACTAACATAACTATGGAAAATCACCATTTTCAATAGCTACGTTAAATTACCAGAGGGTAACATCATTACATCGATGGATCCCATGAATTTTCATGTTTCGACCTGTTCGCTGCAACATGCTGCAAGCCCTACGTTTGCCCACCACCGACCCCGCATATTCTTTGACATGTTCAAATTGGCAGTGCCAGCTTTTCAAAACAATACACCCTAAAATACCTCGAAACCCTGAACTCTAAAGCCCTAAAACATCCTAAACCCTAAATCCTGACACATCCTGAAACCTCAAGTCAAGTTTTCATCCTCTTAAATGACAAGTATCTGATATTGCCATGGTGTATTCTGATGGCGCGGGCAGCAGCTGCCTTATCCATCCAACTTCACCAGGTTTTCCACGTCCCAGCAGCCAGCCGAAGCCGATCCCTGTGGACCTGTTGAGCATCGCGTCAGGCGTCAGATTTTGGGGAAAAAATATGGGACTTCAGTCTGTGTTGACAGAAATTTCAGGAGAACAGCATAGAATAGAAGATCTATATGGGTGTGTCTGAAAATAGTGTACCCCTAAACCCAATGGTTTTGCTGATCATTATCCCTATTAAATGGCTATTTGTTTGGGAATATACCCTATTTTCAGACAAACCCATATACCCTCTGGTAAACAAACATAGCTATGGAAAATGGCCATTTATAGAATAATTTACCCATGAAAAATAGTGATTTTCCATAGCTATGTTAGTTGACCAGAGGGTAATCGAACACAACATAAGAATTTTGAAGAACGTAGAACAACGACCAGTCAGTGCATGTCGAAGCACAATGGAATTGCCAGCATGCAAAAGATTAGCTCTGAAACGTGGAACTACACGCATCGCATCGCATTGCTTTCAGGAAGCTGAATTAAAATGAGAAGAACTGTGGTGATATAATTTGCTGTGTTCAAGCTTGACTGTAGTGAAGATAGTGAAGTATGTGTTGCGGTTTCACGGTCCACATCGCGTCGTGCGTTTGAAACTACCATGAATGAGTGTTCCTCAACTCGGGTACGAACCATGAAGTCAGAGCCTGCGATCAATTCCAAAGAGTTATTCCTCTGCCCCAGCCGATTCGGCGACCCCTTTCGCACCGTTTTTCTCCTCTATCCCTCAGGCCCTGTCTCAGAATGAGCGTCTTCTCGTGGGGATGTGTTCTCCGCAGATTCTTCCTGCCCCATTGGAACACAACCTGGTTGGTGGTTTCTTTCCCATCTTGAAAAATATTAGTCACTAGTCAATGGGAAGGATGACATCCCATATATTATGGAAAATATTCAGAAAAATTGAAACCACCAATCAGCAACCATCAGTGCAGAGCTGAATCTGACACAAGTCATGAAGCAAACTGACTCTTCTCTGTGCCAAGTGAAGGATTCATGGAGGGATTGGAGGATGGGACGATCTACACCATTGTAGCAGCGTAGCACTTCGTCAAGCAATTCCAAGCCTGATGAATTCACTGATGAATGCACCGATCACTGTCAGAAAAAGCCACCATGATCATCCATTGTCATCCATGATCAATGATAATTCACGATCTCCAACATTTTAAGCGTTTACTCACCCAGCCCGGCCCTAGCTTTTCCATTCCCAGTGGTTTACCAAGTTGACTCGCCTGGTCACTCTCCGACACTGTCGCGCAGTTCTCAAATTCCTCCGAGGCTTTCTGAAGGTGACACTCGTAGAGTCCACCTGGAACGGGGCGTTGTGGTACACCGAAAATAGAAAAAACGGTTAAAATCACCAGCTTGGTTGTATTTAATCATTCTAAACCCATCCCCCAAGCAGGACGGCATTGGGTTTCATGATTTCAATTTTGGGCTTCATCCAGACCTTGCCCGTACCTTGGATATCTCAGGATCCTCCGTTTGGTCAAAACGTTTGCGCATTCCAGTCAACGTGGCAAAACGCCAGAAGTACGATAAACGTAGGTAAAAATATATAAGTTTTGGACATATTTTAGGCTCAAGCCTCATGATTTTACTTTGGTACATAAGTATAGAAGTGCGATGTGTGCATTTCAAAATTTGATATTATATGTAAATGTTGATAGGTTGTTTAAATTTATCTTTTGAACATAAATTCATATACATGATACAATTTGAATTACCCTCTGGTAATTTAACATAGCTATTAAAAATGACCATTTATAGTTGATTTACCCATTAAAAATTGCGATTTTCCATAGCTATGTTAGTTTACCAGAGGGTAGTTTGATTCTCCAGTCTTCTCAACATTTTCTTGATTAATGGGAGGTGGACTGTTTTCAGCATCAACGATGCAGCCTTCGTAATCGCGTAGAACGGCAAAACCACAAAGCACCGGGTTCACCTCAATTACCACCTGCAGCAATTCAAACTTCGACAAGCAGAGGGGACATGAGGGGACGACATGAGGGGACCACAACCATCCACAACCAAACAAAAAAAAAAACATAAGATGGGATATAACTCCCAGAAATATACCCATGGCAAATTACGCGGAACTGAACTCCCCTGTTTGTGACAAACCACTGCAATCATTCAAGCTTCAGGAACGTGTTTTTGTAAACGTCTGTGCAAAAAGCGTTTTTGTAAACTGTCCAGAGATATTACCCTCTGGTAATTTAACATAGCTATTGAAAATGGCCATTTACAGTTGATTTACCCACTAAAAATGGTGATTTTCAACAGCTATATTAGTTTACCAGAGAAACAGAAACTGTCGCAAGGCACCATGTATTCCGCATCCGATACTGACAGATCCAGTTTCAGAGGCTTCATGATATCCTTCAAGGCGGCCATGACATCTTCACGTTTGATGGTGCTCATAGCACGACTGTGAAAGGAGCAATACCATCCAGCACCTTCTCCTTAGCTTTTGCTTAGCTTGCAGGAAGCCTTGGAATTGGTGGGTGTAAGTGAAACTGCACGCATTAACCTCCGGCTATCAAACATGCCAATAGAAAATCTCTCATTTATAGATAGTTTTCTCATTAAAAGCTCTATTTAGAGGATATTTCCCATTGCAACATTTGATTACCGGATGGTATTCCATACAGCATACACAAACTGATCTTGAAGTTGAACATAGACAGTCATAGATAAACAAGTTTCATCGATTTTCAGAATCAAATCCGGCTGATCTGAGGGAGGGGTAATGGAGGACAGCGCTTCTTAAACTGTATCTGTATATGTAGTGTGCTCAAGAAACAAGTGCATTTCTACAAGTTGCAATGTGTAAAGCGATTTAAGCAACCAAAATGGTCAAACTGGCTACATGGTGAATTTTTCATGGCTTGAACCACTGCAGCAAAAGTGTCCTGTGCTCAGTTTCGCACTGGAAGCTGTCGCAGGCTTCTATTGGCAGATGTTTCGAAGTGTTGGAACAACACAGAATAGACTTCTGCGCTCAACATGACTCGCTATTCACGCATACTGACACTTCAAATCACTTCAACCTGCCCTGAGGATCCTAAATTCTCGAAAGTATGAACTATTTCCGACTATATATCCGCAAATTATTATTAACATTCAAAAATATGAACTATTTCATCCCCATGAGAGCGGTCTGAACGAGACAAGCCGCTGGCGTCTTTCAGCAACTTTGGCAGTTCCGCCGCGGCTGCTGCCTGAAAGTTCCTCGAATCATTCGTTCATCATTCGGTGCTGCGAATACGAAGAATTCGACTCAAGATGTATGGCATTCTATGGAAACAGTAACTGGTTGGTGGTTTCAACCACTCTGAAAAATATTAGTCAATGGGAAGGATTGTTCCATATATTATGGAAAAATAAAAGCCATGTTCCAAACCACCAACCAGGTAACATACATGTCCAATGTGTATGTTAATTCCTGTCTACGCAATTCTGTGCACATCTCGAGCATCTTTGAATCCGCACCGAGATGCTTCAAATGAGGCGAGCAAACCACATCCAATGGTGCCATTCCTAGGTCTGAAAAAAAAACGCTGGCGTTTTAACCACTCAACGGTCCTTGTACGCTAGGAACAACATGGAACAACTAACAAGGGATTTATCATCCACTTAAATGATTTTTGGGGCCACTTAGTGGCACTCAAACACGGTTTTTGCATGTGTTTGCTTCAATTTTGCAACAGCTGAAAAGATAGAACGTGACAGAACATTGTCTGAATGAAGCTGGTTCCAAAGCGAGGGCCAAACGAATCTAAGTTTCTGCCAGTATCTCAGTTTCTATGGCCCGTTCCAACTTACCCCAGTCAAACCATCCATTTTGTGCACTCAAGCAACACAAATAGTTTTCGATGTTCGGAGATCCAAACGCAAAGTTTGCCTAAAAAAAACTTCCTATATAAAAATTGAAATCAACAAAAATCATCAGTTTCTCCAGTTATTCTCCAAGGGTCTCACAACAAAGCGCACTGCTTGTCCTTCTCTACCTGCAGCTCGTTGTCGTTCGAAGAGGTCCACCACCAGTTGAGATGGCGCCCGTCGGCCATCCACCGAAAGAATCGTCACGCCTCGACTCACCTGATCCCATTCCGAGAAACACCCATCCCAGTAGTATCCAGTAGTTATTTCTATTGATAAAACATGTAATTATATATTATAGTCATATAACTAGGAACACGGCCTTTATCTGGCCGTGGTGTTTTTGTGATGAACGGGGTGTCATGGATGATGTTTGATGTGGTCGTGCCAATAGGATTTTGGTTGATGTGATTTCAAAGGCGAAAAACCCCTGATTCTGGTGCATAAAATCACAATCGAGCGTTTCGCCTAGGCGAAACTACCATTTTTGATGTTTCTCAGAACTCCCCAACTAATTCGACCTGTATTGTTTTGATGTGAGTTCAAAGACAAGAAACCCCCTTATTCTGGTGCATGAAATGAAAAGGCAAGTATTTCGCCTAGGCGAAAACGCATTTTTTTGTAATTCCACATGTTATGTATTGATGAAGTTGGCACAGCCTGCCAGACGACCTTGCAACCGACCTGGATTTCAACATGTTATGTATTGATGAATTTGGCACAACCCACCCCACCCATGTCTACACGCACATAACGGCACACACAGAGACGGGTCCACTTACCTAGCAAGTTCACATGAACGTTAACACATGCCCCACCCCACCCCACCCCACCCCACCCATGTCTACACGCACATAACGGCACACACAGAGACGAGTCCACTTACCTAGCAAGTTCACATGAACGTTAACACATGCCCCACCCCACCCCACCCCACCCATGTCTACACGCACATAACGGCACACACAGAGACGAGTCCACTTACCTAGCAAGTTCACATGAACGTTAACACATGCCCCACCCCACCCCATGTCTACACGCACATAACGGCACACACAGAGACGAGTCCACTTACCTAGCAAGTTCACATGAACGTTAACACATGCCCCACCCCCCCCCCCCCCCCCCCCATGTCTACACGCACTAACGGCACCACAGAGACGATCCCACTTACCTAGCAAGTTCACATGAACGTTAACACATGCCCCACCCCCACCCACACCATGTCTACACGCACATAATGGCACACACAGGACGAGTCCACTTACTAGCAAGTTCACATGAACGTTAACCCATGCCCCACCCCACCCACCCCACCCCACCCCCAATGTGCACGAAAACGCACGGCCAGATAAAGGCCGTGCTCCAACTATATACAACTATATATATATATATATTATACACATATATTATACATATATATATATAGTCAGTAACTATATTAAACTGAACTATTGATATGGTCCTATTTATAAAACAATAATGGTAAATAATATACTGAATAAACTATTGTAAAAGATACTTGAGTCGTCCAAACCAAAAGCAACCCACAATTTTCACATCACCACTGTGTACCTCAGAGTAGAAGCGCAGGGGCCGTGCTTTCGGCTTGACATCTTCGCGCAGTGCCTGCCACTTTTCATGGCTGAATACAAGTCTCAAAAAGAACAACTTCCGGAGAACTATAAGCATGCCATTCCCCAGAAAATCCCAATGAATCGTTTAGAAAGTCTAGACCCTGGTTCAATTGTGGATTATCACTGCTATTTTGAGCAAGAGGAGTCAGACTTTCAGGTATCAGTTGCCTGCGTTTATCCACTTCTGCTTGGTAGACTGAAGCCAATCTCTTCACGAATCTGTTCCTGATATTTTGAGTACAAATAAGATGCATTAATATTATATTATATATTCACTGCAAGTACGGCGATTTCCTAAGTCACGGGGGTCCCCCTAAATCATCCCTTTTTTTGATAGGATTTTCCATGAGATAAACCATCCAGCAATTGGGGTTACCAGCTATTGGGGTACCCTCATGACTATGGATATCCCATGATATCCCCATATAATATACTAAGAGTATTACTGAGTATCATATGTCAACAATAACATGTCTTGGTGTATTAACATACATTCATATATATATATATATTCACTGTATACAGTTTTCTTGTAGACCCTGTTGGAAGTTGTAACCACTGACCCGCAACCGGGTGTTGCACACCCGCAACGGGCATCACCTGTAGCTCCTCTTCCAGTGACTCGCCCACCGAGCGAGCGCCAGCAGTGCCAGCAGCGCCAGCTCCCGGATGTTCGTTCGGCGCAGTGTCCTAAGAATATCATGGGGGGCCCGGTTTTTTTTAGCAAAGTTGGTTTATTCACTGGATTGGTTTAAGGGAAAATCTGAACCGGAAACCATGGTTTTTACCATTTTTTTATATAGAGGTTTCCTGTAATTTTTCCCTTAAACCAATCCAGTGATTTATTTATAACTCCAATCACTATGCTTTATGATGCATATATATATATATACACATAACTATAGTTAATGGGGTTTATAAACCAAATAAACCTAACCCCACATTGTAACAAAATCAAACTTATTGTGCGCAGGTGTTTTCCATCATCAAACACGGGATTTTCCCTGGACAACGTACGGAGTTGTCTGAAAAAAGGGTACCCAAAGATCAGCATTTTCGCCATTGACATATATATACATATTATATACATGGTACATATATATATATATATTATATACATATATAATATATACATATATAATATATACATATAGAATATATACATATATTTTATATACATGTAATACATATATAATATAGACATATATAATATATATATATATACATATAATATATATATACACATATATAATATATACATATATAATATATACATATATAATATATACATGTAATACATATATCATATATACATATATAATATATACATATATAATATATACATATATAATATGTACATATATCATATATACATATATAATATATACATATATAATATATACATATATAGTATATACATATATAATATATACATATATAATATATACATATATAATATATACATATATAATATATACATATATAATATATACATATAATATACATGTATAATATATACTACAATATATATATACATAATATATATATATATACATTATATATATATATTATACAATATATATATATAATACGTGTTTATATATAGAGAATCATATTGAAATGAACAGTTTGGTGGTATACCATGGTATAGCCCATGTTCAGACCCACAGTTCAACCATTTTCAGATCAGCACCCGGCCTCCCCATTTTCGAGAACGCCTTGTAGCAAGCGTATCGCCTCTCCTTGGAACATCCACCCGGACTTTTTCCTATTCCCATGACGGATCCATGGTGCTGGTATATTAATGCTAACAAAAATGGGGTATATTGATGGGATCCATGGAGCACCATATATAGCAGCAAAAAGGATCCTATATGATCCTATGGGATTGGGAGTCCATATTTTTCCTTTGCTTTATAGATATCGATATGAAGTCCTGACTGGTAATAGGCTGACTGGCGGAACTTCTGAGAAACGTAGGCTGCAACAAAGCAGGAGCACTGTTGGAAACAAGCACTACTTGGAATTCGGACAGTTCGTAAGAAAACCCCGTGTTTTTCGTTTTTTTTTGTGGCAAACCTAAGGTTTCGAGCACGTCTAAACCGAGGGTTGTAGTTCCCAACCAATTTGTAGGTTTGGAAGCTAAGGGTATGCGATGGTATGCGTATGGCTCAAAAACGGCTCATTCCCTGGTGAGACATATGGAACGAGATATGCATAAGAAGTGACTGATCCGGACCTATTGGAAAGTCTACTAAAGTGGCCTGATATAATTTATAACCCATAGGATCCATGGTGCTGGTATATATGCTAACAAAAAGGGGGTATATTGATGGTATATGTTACCATATATAGCATACATGGATCCTATGGGTAAGTGCAAGTTGTCATATGTTGTCATTTTTGGGTATGGCTCTTGGGTATGGATCATGGCTATGAGGGGTATGCATTGCGTGTGGGTCCAGGGTATGGATCCGAGTCTTACATTTTGATCAGCGGCCATGATCTATGGGAGAAGTGCCAAGAGTGTCGAGACATTTTGCTGCACCCATCGGAGGATACATTGTTTGAGCTGTCTTAAGTCCTTGGAGAGCATGTGTGTGTGTGCCTCCTATCATCTGCAGACCTAAACTAATCGCCAATGGTTCGCGTAGCCCAATGGTTCGCAGTGTTCAACACCCTGTGTTGTTACATTCTACTCTTTGGTATATCTTGGGATTCTGTAGCGGGCAGCGCAGGGTTCAAACAGCTGGGCTCACACCCAAAACCAATCACCACCACAAATTCAACCAAGAGGCAATAGATGAAGGAAAAGAAGTAGTTACGCCAAGGATCCCAAAGCGCTCAGCGCGCTGATGTTCCACGACCGCTTAGGTCAGAGCTGCAGCCGGCATGGCTTAGTGACACCTAAGTAAAAGGGGCCCCTGAGCCATCACGTCGCAGTGAAGCGACCATCTGCTTCCATGACCTGACAGTGGGCGGTGGCACAGGTTTCAGTTGCTGCACCAGTACAAAAAGGCTTCAGGTCATGGGCAGCTGTACACATATCTTCACATGGGCTCAGGGTGCCAAAACAAGGCGTTCGAATTTGACCTGTTTGAGAGCCAGCAGTGATTGCATGAACGTGAAGTGATCCAGCATTGATTGCGAGATCCTGCTGAAGATCGTGTAGCTGAAGTTCACGAGCAATGACCGCAAACGCATGTTCAGAAAAATCTTCAAAAGCACCATGTGATGACAAAGGCGGCGAAAAATCACCCAAAGCATCATCTACTTTCTGAATTGCAGTTTTGCCAACTTTCTTGTTGCGTTTCGCAGCAGTGAAGTTTGGATCATATGCTATGCTCCAGCAACGGCTTCGCAGATACTTCAAAAGTCCAATTCTGCTATCGCCACGCTTTTTGGTAAAGGCGTCGGCGAGATCATAGTCAGAAGCCAGCCATCGAAGTTCACATCCAACTCTCTTCAAATTGTCTCTGAGCTGGAACGCTTGCAATGCCGCTCTCATGTTGGAGAGGCCAAGGAGCGGTGATTCATTCACCTCCACGGCATCGTAGCCACCTCGGGAATCTGTGCAAAGGATTCCGGTGACAAGGCAAGCTTGATCTTCAGCTGAAGCTACCAGATCGGCACGTCGGTCAGGTCGTTGGAAACCAGCTCCATGTAGCTCGCTCCATAGCATGCGAACTCGAAAGTTCTGGTCCTCGGCCTCGAGGATTGACTGCACCTCGGCATCGTTGCTGCCAATGGCTTTTCTCTTCAGCTTCCACGTACGCCATGAAATCAAAGTCATTGGAGTGACCTTGCCTGAAATGGCATCTGGTCCAGCAGCTAAGGTTAAAAGTCCACCAGTCGAGTCGCCTTGAGGTCTGTTGGAGTGAGACTGGTCACCCATTGAAATGAAAACCACGTCATTCCAATTGGTCGCCTTGGGGAGCTTGAAAAATTCCAAACTGAAAGGCTCTGAGCGCACTTCGGCAATCATCTGCTGTATCTCCCGCGCTGTCTCCAAAGTACCGTTGGTGACAACCTCGGTCAAAAGCAAATTGCATCTCGCACACAACTGTGGCTGTGTCTGGATGGCCAGCCATTGGAGTGCTCCAAGAGCTGTGCGACAAGCTGCAGTCTCTTGCTTCTGAAGAGGGCCATTTTGGTGAAGTCGTTCAGGAGGTATGGCAACATCTGCCACTGACTCGACATAGGCATCTTGGTCAATCACCAGCTTGAACTTGTTGGAGGCCTTGTCGAACACTGTCTTAAGGTCAGTGCCAGCATGGCGGTAGTTGCCACGTTTTGCTGTGCCCCATTTGTAGGCTGAAAGGATCTGGTTGTAGATCTTCTGCCACTCCTCAGACTGAAAGTTGCCGCAACAGTGGAAATCATCCACATGGCCACCCATCACACCAAGTAGGCGAGGAAAACGGCCGGTGGCATCAAGCTCAGTCTTGGAAAACCAGGCCCATAAACATCTTTCGCCCAAAATAGGCGTAGCGCCCAAAGAAACCAAAGTTTTGTGGAGATCCAACCAAAGTCCCCTGGGGGCTGTTGTTGACCCATAGATGTTGCGCAACACCCTCATCAATCCACCTTCAGGGATGCCCAAAGCAGCTCGAAGTTCAGCAACACCAGTAGTCCAAATCTCAGCATCTGCCTCAGTGGGTTGCGTCTGCAAAAATGCTGTCGCAAGATCCAAGCCATGAATCTCCCACTGCTCTTGCACGGAGAGGAGGTAGATGAGGTTGCGACCAATCATAGATTGGACTGGTGCTGAAGTCTTGAAGGATCTGTCTAAAAGACTGGGGTGTTGAAAACCAAGAAGCACAATTCGTGCCTTTGCTTTGCGGCTGCCATCTTTTGTGAGGACTGTTGAAGGATCATGTTGGGCTTCATGTTGAGCTTCTTCAAGTTCATCAGGGGGTGTACTTTTCCATGTCAAAACCCATCGCGCCTTGATGATTCTGTTGGAATCATAGGCACGTCGAACTTCACCATCATTGAGGCACTTCCGAACAGCTTCATTCTTGAGGAAAGACGTCACCTCCTTGGTCTTGGCACGCTCGAACAGCGACTTCTCGTAGTCAGTGAGGCGGTGGATGTTCACTTCAGCTCCATTGAGCTTTTTGGTGAGGAACAAAACAGGATGCCTTTCCAAGGCCTTTCGCTGTCGAGTGGTGTTGAGCTCGAGGTCAAAGCAAATCTCGATGACGTCATCATCACATTGTTGAAGAGCTGAAAAGATGTTCATCTCATTGGCCTCAATGTTGGCATCGGCTTGAAGTTGCTCGACCCATTTCAAGTCATAGGTTGTGGCTTTGAGACGTTTGGCTTCCGTCTCATCTGGATGTGGTACAGGAGGAGCATCTCGAGCACCATCATCAAAACCATAGTCATTCACCGCATCATCCTCATCTAAGTCAATTGCAGCACCTGGTCGCGGAGCTGAGGCAGCAGGCCTCGATGACGAAGAAGGGCCAGAATTCTGAGGTGGAGGTGAGCTCGGAGCCAAAAATCCAGGGGCTCGGTCAAGTCCAGGACCATAAGTCGAAGAGCTCTGCCCACGAAGTCCAAGGGGGGTAGATCGATGGATCTGCCTCCAATCCTCAGGTGGCACAGATTTCTTGCCATAGACTCGTTGACCAGGAACAACTGTCGTTCCATCAGGTAGAGGTGGTAGGAGAGGTTCTTCAAGTTGATCACGTGTTGGTATCTCATCAGAGATATCGGTGAACTCTCTCTCAGGGATGATGTCGGTCAAAGTCTTCCACTTGGTGACATCCTCGCGCTTGTTGAGCTCGTAGTGCAACTTCTCTGTCGGTGTGACCGGTCTGACAGAGTGAGCTGAGCAACGTAGAAGTTTGCCGCCAATCAAAACCCAAACGATGTGACGACGCTCATCGTCCAAATCTTGATGAGGAAGAAGTTCTGTGAAGATGACTCGGCCAGGTCCGACCCATCCAGGTCGAGAGGCCTTTTTGAATCCTCCTCGAGGTCCAGTGTGAACTTCTTGTGGAAGAACACGACGCCAAATCTTCACAAGAGCGCCAACATCATAGTTGCGCAAGGGCTGCCGTGCCTTGCTGTTTGCAAGACGACCCAAAACTCGATTTGCACGGGTCTTGGTGGCAACTTCTTCAGCACGTTGTCGAGCCAGCACAAGGTGAGAAAAGGTGGTTCGGTCACCAAGTTGCGCCAAGTTGCGCCTGTCCTCATCTGATATCATGTAGTCTCTGCCAAATGCCCATTGATGGCTTGAGAAGCCAGAGACATACTCAGTAGAGTTGAGAGCTGAGGCTGCCAAGATCAGGGATATGTGAGGATCTTGTTCAGGTGCATCTGTCTGAATTGCACTGGCCGTGAACTTCAAGTCCTTGATGGCATGCTCAACCAAACCATGCGCCCAGGCTTCTTTTTCAGCCGGGAAGCTCAATTCCATTCCAGCTTCACGGCAAAACTCGCCAAAACGCACTGAGGTAAAGGACTTGGCATTGTCGGCAACGACAATGTAAGGCTTTGGATAAACAGCCAGCCAGCTTCTGGAGAGACCCTCAATGACCTGCTCGGCATTCTCAGTCTTCATGACCGTGATGTCATAGGAGTCAAACAAAGGACAAACTGCACGCAGTCGTGTGCACATGTCGATGATGAGGAGGAACTTCTGCTTGGTGGGCCGCATGGGTACATACCATTCAGCCACATCAAGTCCAACAGCTTCCCAAGGTCCAAACTGTGCGTGAGTGGCAGCAGGAGGAATGTTGCCACTTGACATGCCACCTGGTCGAAGTCCATCGCAGGTGGGGCATTTAAAGTCCATTGCCATTTTCACCTTCCAAGGTTCCATCTTGGCATCACGCACAATCCTGGCAAGGTTTCGGCCAGAACAGTGACCAGCAGCTTTGTGAAACTGCAGAAGTTTCACCTTCCATCGTTCCTTCTCAGCATCAGTTGGTGAAGGTGTAGAAGAGCTCGGTTGTGGTGGTTCAGCAGCATCGTCGTCAAGGTCAATGACAACATCAGCAGGACATAGATCTCCATCGGGGAAGTCAATCTCAGCAACGTCGTTATAGTCCATGCGCCGAAGTTGCTGATTGGAGACCTCTTGCTTAGCCCAAAAACGGGCTATCGACTGAACCATTTGCCATGGATAGTATGCCGATTTGGCAGTTTCTTGACCTTCAATTCGTCCATGACAATGAGAGCCAACACACACCTTTGCACGAAACTGACTGTGAAAAAGCTCATCAGTTGTTTTGATCTTCCACTTCTTTTTGAGGAAATCACCATGTGCATCGCGCATGTGATAGCGACAGCCATCAATGCGACAGTCCAGCCATTCATGACCATGTTGTTGAAGAAGGCGTTCAATCGCCAGCATAGGTTCTTGGTTCCATCCAAAACAAGGATGAGGCCATTCCCAAAACACTGTGATCTCGGGGTCATCCTCAATCGCTCTTTTGATGAAACCATGTGCACGCCAAAGAAGCTTTCGGTCTTTTCTGCGGTATGACTCAAGCAACTCCTTCTGCTCAGGTGTGGAGTAGTTGAGAGAAGACCATGGGCACCAATGTGTGCACGGAAGGCTCCACCACAAACGCTTTGGACGACGCTGACGTCGAAGCTCATCAAGCCGCTCCCAAGTTTTTGGTTGATGCAGATCAAAACCGCTGCAAGCCATGTTGCTCGGCAGCTTGGCTCAACCAAGAGTGTGGGGCGCATGCTATTTCCCAAAGTCCATCTCGGCCATCAAGAGTAAAGTCCAACATCGTTGCAGTTGCCGCTGCAATCATAGTTGATGCGAACATCATCACCTTGGTGGCCACATTGTTGGTCAAGGGTTGCAACTTGCCATAGAGCTCCTTTGAAACCTTGAAGTTGTCGGTCTTGAAGGACTCCGCAGGGACAAAGGTCTCGTCAATGCCAGTCTTCACGCCATGTCGGCCTCGTAGGCCGCAGTCAGGTTCACAGGTTCCGGCACGGGTGTTGATGCCGCAGCTGCTTGGCGACGCTCGATCATGAGCTGCACAAGCTGGTTCTTCTCCTCGGCAGTGAGGTGGTTCTCCAAGTCGTTGAGAGGAGGAGGTGATCCTGGAATCACATCCCAGTTGGTTTCTGCCGTCGATCTTGGAGTCTGCACTGGCTCCACAGTTGTTGATGCCCTCGTTGGAAAAGCTTTGGCCTTTGGACGGCCTCCCACAGTGTACCCCATTGGGTTCTGCGCCATGAACTCCTTGTCGATCATGTGGGTCAAGGTTTCCTCGGCATCGATCTTCTTCTGCATGGCCAGGCAGATTGCTGCCGTGGGCTTTGCTCCACGCATCAAAGGCTGAAGTTCGGTCAGCATTCTGACGACCATTGCCCTGTTTTCCACCTTCGTACTGCCGCTGTGACTGCCCACCTTCGGCACATAGTTGAGACGCAGGTTGCACACTGAGCATTGAGTCCACTGCCCGTGTGCATTGCTGTGTGCCTTCGCTGGAACATGGTGTCCGAAGCAAGGCCATTGAGCTTGTTCCACCCGCGGATCTCTCTCGTCCATGCCCATGGCACGACTGGGATCCAAGGGTCGCACATCTTTGGTCTTTGGAGTCGCTGCTTTGATGCGCTCCAAGATGTTGCCCCGTTCTTGTACTGGAGGTTGTTCCTGAGCCATCACGCGCACAGGAAGCAGGCAACTTCGAATTGGAAGTCGTTTTGTCGCTAGGACACATTGAAGCCGAAGCAGCTGATGACATAGAGGATGAAAATGAAAGACCATGAAGTTGTGCATGAATTGCCAAAAGATTCCGTCGTGACCTTTCCAAAACCTGCTCATCAAAAACCTTGTCTTGCATGGACATGTCATAGTATTGAACTGGATGAAATTCAAGTGTTTGCAACTCAGCTGACTGGATCGCACCCTCAAGCACATGGATTGTTGGAGACCCTTCATGGTTGGAAAAACCCATAGTGAGGTATTTGACAATGTCCCGAACATAGTGACCCTTTTTGTTGGATTGTAGTTGATGTACAACAGGTTGGGGGTTCATAGATTCCACAGCCAAACCAGTCGAAAAATCAATCGTAAGAGCACTTTCGGGAGCATCTTTTCCAGATAGATGGTCCATACCAAGTAAAACAGGCACCAAATTGTTGACATCACCATTCTTGGGGTCCGGCAGGCAATACATATGAAAAGTTCTTTCAACTCCAGAAACACTTGAGGATATTGAAACACGGAAATTGGCTTGCCCCCAACATCCATTCCCAAACCGGAAGTAAGGCCGCATATACTTCGCGATGGTCACAGTGGCTCCTTTGTCCTGGGCCAACACAGAGCTGATTAGCTTCTGCACAGAGGTCTCTGGCCCGGCACTTGCGGTGGCTCCGCAATCTAAAAGACCTAGACTGGGCTGCATGTTGGTGGCATCGGTGGACTGCGCTTCAAAGGGTTCAGAGCGAAGTTCCAAACCAAACAGTGATTCCGTCATGTATGCATTGACTGCTGGACGTGTTGGAGAGCTTTTGGATTTCCCCTTACCTTTCCACATTGCATTGGAATCCAACATGTGATTGGAAAACTTGCCTTTCCCTTTGCCTTTCTTACCTTTTCCCTTCATGTAGAAGAGCTCGGAATTCTCCCACTCAGCTGCATAGTTGAACTTGCCCTTGCCCTTGGATTTGGCGGAGGGATGCATTCGGTCAGGACAATTCCTGGCAAAGTGGTTGCCATTGCAAATGAAACATTTGACATCACCAGAACTGCTTTGTTGACCGAAACCACGATCTCGACGAAGAGCTGCAGTGGCCCTTTGAGCTTCTGCCCATGAGCGCTGAGCTTGCATGGCCAAGCCTTCAGCTTCACGTTCTACCTTCATGGCATCTTGTAGTTGAGGATCTTCTGCAGGAGGTTCTTCGGCAGGAAGTTGGTCATGTTGTACATGTTGTGCATCTCCCCAGTGTTGATCCCATTCTTCATCAGGCCAGTAATCAGCTTCCGCCCAATAGTTTTCATCCCATCCATCGTTCCACCAAGGTTCATAGGGCTCCTCAAAGGCGTTGAAGGTGTCCTGAAAATAGCCGCTCATAGAGCTCCTCGAAGACATAGTTCCACCAGAGCGTCCAAGAAATTGTTCATCCCATAGAGTCTGCAAAGCCTGAGTGATCACGGTGAACTCCAGGCTGCCTTTGGTGGCAGACAAAATGTCTCTTTTCTCATCAGCTGACAATCCAGCTGACTGCAAGAGCCTGAAGCCACGTAGTACTCCAAGCACAAAGCTGTCGGCCAAGGAGAACTCATCGATCGCATCACGACCTTGTTGAGGTTGAGCAGCAGCAGCGGTGCTTGGAACACCAACCGATCTGTAGCTTGGTGATCCACCAGGTCGTCGTTGCGGCGATGTCGCTCCCATAGAGCCATCTCCAAAGTCAGGAGCTGTGGCCGTAGCGGCCGTTGCAGCAGCAGGGGATGTAACAGGTACATCGGGCTCTGGTTCTTCAGCATCTTCAGGATACCATCCATACCAAGATCGCTCCTCATAGGGAATTTCGTCCGGGAGGTCGAAGTTCTTCTCGCTCTGCTTCACTCCATTCTTGTCCTCATACAGGAGAAGGAGGGCTTCCACAAACTCAGAGTACCCAAGTGCCTCACGAACAAGAAAGTTGTTCATTGGCTCGTTATAGTCCCTTCTAAAGTTGAAGTACTGCTGACATGTTGCTGCAGCATTCGGTAGGGTTTGACGAACCAAGGGGCTGTTTGCCAGCCTCTGCAACAATTCCTTGACACCATTGGTGTGGTCGAACTCCATGGTGGTCCAGCTCATAGCTAGCAACCTCGCAGGCCCACGTAGTTTCCCAACAAGCTTGGTGGCACAGTAGCGTCTTTTCTCAACTGGGGTTCCACGAACATACCAGCAAACCTCTCTTGTAAATCGACGCCAAGTTCGAGCACTGCCATCCCATGATGGGATATTCTGTTGATCTTTCTCTGAAGACATGACGAAGCTTCAGAGGAGGCCAAAATGGCCAGCAAAGGATCAGGTCGTATCACCTGACAGCACAAAAAGGCAACTGATGCCAAAGGTCTCGGCAAAAAGGTCCAAGGAGAACTGGATGTAGTATCCAATCAGGTAGACCTGCCAGTCAAAGACTCAAGCACTGATTGCAAGGCGCAAATCACCTTTGGTGGTGGCCTCAAAGTCAATGCCAAAGGTCCAGGAGCTTGCTGCTCCGCTACCAATGTAGCGGGCAGCGCAGGGTTCAAACAGCTGGGCTCACACCCAAAACCAATCACCACCACAAATTCAACCAAGAGGCAATAGATGAAGGAAAAGAAGTAGTTACGCCAAGGATCCCAAAGCGCTCAGCGCGCTGATGTTCCACGACCGCTTAGGTCAGAGCTGCAGCCGGCATGGCTTAGTGACACCTAAGTAAAAGGGGCCCCTGAGCCATCACGTCGCGGTGAAGCGACCATCTGCTTCCATGACCTGACAGTGGGCGGTGGCACAGGTTTCAGTTGCTGCAGATTCCCATAATGGCTTATGATTATCTGGTTGGTGGTTTCAACCCCTCTGAAAAATATGAGTTCGTCAGCTGGGGTTATTATTCCCACCATATGGAAAAATAAAAAATATGTTCCAAACCACCAACCAGACATAACCAGACTACATATTAATTGGAGAGTAGTCGAACCACCACCCCACCCCTATCATCAAGCACCAGGGGTCGTCTTACACAAAACCAGCAGTCGGACAAGTCTCGGGTGGCTTTTTGAGTTTGACTTGGGGTCCGGCTCGTCACCAACACTGCTCTCAGGGGCATGGGCCCCACTTTGTGCCGCTTGAAGCTTCCAGCCTTTCCAGCCTTTTCCTGAGGGAAACTCGTGGGAACACTGGATACATGAAGTAAATTTCATCTACCCTCTGGTTATGTCAAAATAGCTATTGAAAATGACCATTAATAGTGGATTTTCCCATGAAAAATGGTGATTTTCCATAGCTATGTTAAATAACCAGAGGGTATATAACATCGTGGAAACACCTTTCTATCTTTTTGGAAGTTGCCCAAAATGGAGTTTTCTGAACCAGCGAAATGAGTGATCAGCTTCCCAATGGGAAGGATGACATCCCATATACGAAATGGAAAATAAAAGCCATGTTCCAAACCACCAACCAAAGAAAATAAACCATCATTGGGTTTTGAGGTAATAAGTATTAATAGGTATACCTTATTTTCAGACAAACCCACAGGGACAAGAATCTGACTCAGATGTCTTCGACCTCTTCCCGCTCTTTCCGCTCTTTCCGCCTTTGCCCGATCCCTTGCCAGCGCCGCCAGCGCCTTTCCACTTGCGTTTCCGGTCGCCCATGGCTCAGATTGACATTGGAACCGGTGGGAACCAAAGTTGCAGATGTTTGACTCACTGCATGCAACTACCACAGACACGCCCAAGGGATGACCCTATAGGTATAGTTTATGTGCTGCAAGGATCCAAGATGATATCATCAAAAGGATTTGCATTGTTGAACACACTCGCGGGGAGGACTGGTTTGATTGGATCAAAGGTGGCAAAAGCATGTTTTGGACGCTGTGCTCACAGCTTTTCAAACAACTACGAATGAATGTATGTTTTTGACTGTAAGGTGCCTTCTCCGGGTTGAGCGGTTTCTGTCAAAAACAATTTTGTTCAGCATCTTTTTCAGCCAAACAAACAGCTAAACACACAGGTGTCCATGGGTGTCCATTTGAGACCGGTTTGGGACCTTTCAGGCATGAAGTAAAAACCCAAAAAAACTTCTGACTTCGTCTAGTCCCAAGGAGTTGACAATCTAAGCCTTGATGTTACTGTGCTCCCTAACATGCAACGCTAAGGTCTTTCACTTGATCAAAGCAGCACATTGCTCGTACACGGCCCAAGGGCCTATTGTGGTTTTCAACTATGGTGAACAGGATCTGGCAACCTTGCTTTCCGAAAATATTCCCCCAGAAAGCGCCTTTCCGCAAGCAAACCCGACCCTGCCCAACTGTGCAGTGCAGGAAATGTGGTTTATCAAAAAGAAGATTATATAAATTATACCTTATTAATTATCATTATACCAAATGTTGACCTCAAACAGATGTTCCGGTGAAACAGTGTCAGACGTGATTAGGCCACCCTTCGACGCAAATCATGAGGCCATATGAGGCCGCAGGAAGCCTGGTAAACTCCGGGAATTATGCACCTGAAAACGTGCTTGTGATGGAATACCAATTAATCCCACTATTGATGGATATTAATGGGAAATTCCAATTAGTGGGATTATGGGAAAATGGGATATTTTTAGTCGAACTCATTTTTTCAATCTTCCAGTGGAGTCATAAGGATAATACACATTCAGTCTTGTGACTTGCTGGCTGTGCATATGTGTGTAATATCTACAGATATGATGCGATGCACAATATATATATATATATATCACACAGTATACACACAGAGTATATGCTTGAAGGGATTTCCAATCAGAGTTCATGAATATATGATAATATATGCATCAATGTACCAAACCCATTGCGGATGATAAAACGCTACTAACTCGGTTTACCAGTGCTGACCACGGCCTGGGCACAGCCTGGGGTCTCTTTTTTGGAATTCCATTGTGGATAGTATAGGCATGGATGGACTATGGGGCTCTTTCTGATCAAGACCTGCCCCCTGAAAGTTGACGAATCTCCTCCAGCGTTCAATGTGCAGTGTATGGTGATCTCGTGGAGGCACACCGTCGTTTTTTTCCCCCATATATGATGAACCTATATATAATATATACTGTATATATCCTGTCGTTCTGTATACATTGAGGAGCCATATATTGTAACTCCAAATATAACAACAATAGATGGCTCCAGAATATATAATATGAATATATATATATATAATTATATATACATAAGTAGCTCCAACATAGTTCATACAACAGCAGGGACTGCAAGAACATATTGGGATGGGTCGAGTTCCCTATGAATTTACCATGGAAATTTATCCATGGAATTTACCATGGAATTTACCATATGATTGGATTGGTTCAAGGTAAAATCTTAACCCGAAACCATGGGATTTTCCGATTTTCCAATATGAATTATGAGGCTTTCCGGTTAAGATTTCCGTTCAACCAATCCATTGAATATTATGACAGGGAAACCCTATACCATATATACATTATATACCAATGAAATATGAAAAACCATCAACATGACATTGGATGGTATGTTGTTATATTTTGTTTCCATTGAAGCTGTAGATGTATCCATTTCCCTTGAGGTTTTCATTAGCACTAGCCTCCACAGCCGCGGTGTCTCCAGTGCAAACAACCTGCCACGTTGAGAAAGCCCATTATAATCATTAAGAAAGCAAATTCAGGCCACGGCTTACGTACATATATAGTATATATATATAAGATCCATATATACATATATATATATATACATATGTAGATACATACATAATATGCATATAATATATATATTATACAAATCTGTATAATATATATATATATATCACGTCACTTGAGTTTGGATACTATCTAACTATCTAATTCTATGTAAATAACAATACTGGAAATCAAATATAATTGACGTACACACTACAGGTACTAGGATGATCTAGTATGACTTAAATGTGTACGCATCACAGCTCAAATGCTTCCCATGACACTGAACAATGGCTGGCGTTCTATATTTCCTACAGATTTACAAACAGTTGCACACGTTGGATTACCATATGGAGGTTTCCCAAAATGGGTGTACCCCCAAATCATCTATTTTAAAAGGATGTTCCATCATAAACCATCCATTGTTGGGTACCGGATGGTACCCGCATTTTAGGAAACCCCCACATCACCAACAGAACATGTCCAGCATACGGTTTGAATTTGCAATTCTCCATTTTTGACTCTGCCCAGGTGTTTCTGTCCAGAATTCCTGCGTATTTCCATCCCGGATTCCCCGGAATTTTCATCCAGAAGAATCGATACATGTTTGTGCAAAATACAGCAAGATCAGCCAAAACTTCAAAAAGTTAGAACCGAATAGAAAATTGATGAGATCATTTTCTATCTATTAGTCAGAGAATCAAGAGTACATATTCTGGCTGAATTGTACTCAACTAAAACGACGTTCGGCCATCTGGAGATGGCTCTTTGGTTATTTGAAGTAGCTGTGGAAAATCAACCACTTAATAGGTGAATCCTCGTAAATCATCTATAAATGGACCATGGCCTCCAAAGCTATGTTAAGTAGCCAGAGGGTATGTTGGTTTACTCCGGTCTGGATAATGAAGACTTAGGATTAATCATTCGGCCCAGTGTTTGTACATCCAGGGTGCCGCCCTCATTTTGGCTCGGAATAACAGTGCGACCCAGCCGTTTGCAAATCCGCTCTCCAACGCCTAGATTTTGAATGGTACTAATTTGGTCTTGTTCCCTTTTACTTTTAACTGGAAAAATTGCTTATTATTGTCTTGATCCCTCATTTTTCGTTTGACCCAAAAACGAATATATCATCTTTACAATAAAAACACACCATCACAGGAATTATGAATCAATTGTTTACTTTTTGCATAAAAATGATAGTCAGCCTGTCCACCACGTTCCACCTGTGCGATAGTGCCACTGATGCCAGCATCTTTGTATTGGGCACCGATGCCTGGAAAATGAGAGCCCATGGAATGGAAGCATGGCTTGCTAAGAGGAAAAACTTGGGAAACTGATGAAAATTTAGAGCCTATTGAAATCTATTGAAATCATTTTTGTGATTAAAAACATGTATCTTTAGATATTCTGGTTGGTGGTTGACCTACTCCTCTGAAAAATGATGGAGTGAGTAACAGTTGGGATTATGACATTTTATGACATTCCCAAGATATGGAAAGTCATAAAATTCCATGGTTCCAAACCACCAACCAGTGGTTATTAACCATGATTAACCATCATTAACCATCATTATCCCATACTAAACCAATGTTCCAAACCACCCACCAGATATTGGCATGAGATCAAATGAAGGTGAGTGGAGTGAAATCCCATGGGTTACCTAATGTTACCACTTTGATGAACCGGATATCAGACCTACTACTTTGTTCACCCGTCCTGAAAAAACACAAGGCCACATGGGAATCCAAACATCATGGCTATATCAATGTATAACATTATATATATATATAAATTAATTAAATACACAAATAAATATATATATATATATACATAGAGAATATATAAGTATACTATAATAATATACATATAGCCATCCCCAAAAAAAGATAGAAACGTGTTTCCAGAGGGTGATATATAGATGATATTTAACACATATATATGTGCAGGTTTAGGACGTTTCCGACGTTTCATGACTTTTCCATCTTCTTTGGGGTGGCTACAGGCTACACCTGAACTCAAGGGATTGATGACCATGGCCCAGATGTTGGATCTACACTGTGCACCGGGTGATACAAGATGGGCTGCAGAGAAGTAGACGTCAACCTTCCAAACTGGCCAAGCTCATACCATTGATCATTGATAGTTGGCTTTGCCGAAATGCACAGGATAGACCCAGCAAATACAGTAATCTGGTTAAAACGATCATAAACCATCTCCTAAATCATCATTTTTTATGGGTGTTATAAACCATTCCCAAATGGGTAGTTTATTATTGTTTTAACCACATTACTTGGATTGAAATATGTTTAAATCATTGCAGACTTTCTGATATCCCATTCAAACGCGATTTCGCACACATAACATTGCCAATCTTAGATACCCTGCAAACAATTGAATTCTTTGCTGGTTAGTAGATATTCCCATTACCAAAAGACTAAAGGATTAAAGTACCCGTGTAAGATTGACGTAGATAAAATCAAAAAGGAAATCCCCTCAACATTGGCTCCGGATCACTGACCCACCCACCTACGCCAGCAAATTCCTGAGCAATGCGACGACCCACAAGGCAAACCTTCAACCGAAAGTGCCCGAAACAGCCTGGAACAACAGTCTGAAACCTGAAGAGCCACCAGTTTAACCAGTCCTTGTCTGATATATGATGATACAATTGGTCTTGTTCTATAATTAATTATAGATCTATAATGATACAATTGGTTTTGTTCTATAATGATAATGATAATATTAATGATAATGATCCTTGTCAACTCTTTTCAGTCTCTGTCACAGAACCACTGGGTTTTTCCATAAATGGTAGCTCCATTCTCCTCCGTTGGCTTGACCACTGAAAATTGTCAACTCGGCAGCACTGCTTCGCACAGCGCGGCGGTGACCAAAAATGCACAACACCAGGCAATAACTTACTGGTGCTTAGCAGGAAATGAGGGAATGATCCATTTCATCACTAGTAATAATCATCCC